AATTCTACCATGCAATCTCTCTTGTCTTTGATTCGTGGACCGCATTGAAGCTTGCTGTTGATATGCATTGGGGAGGAACAGATTCCACGGATAAACGTGACTGGCTTATTAACGTGGTGTTTGAATATTTTGGGAAACGTATGTGTTTTACTAGGATGTACAATTTGGTTATAAAACACGGAATGAGAAGAAATTTATGTAAACTGATATCATTAACAGATGGCAGTGAAGCGGATGTTGATGATTTGGAAACCATTTTAGAACAAGTAATGTCTGACGAATTTAATACTTTATTGGAAGATAATTCCGCTGGTCAGGTATTGTAAAAAAATAATTTATTTAACAATTCCATCTTGTTACAATTCTGAGATCACGTATCTTCATACCCATAGGTATCCCAAAAACTAATCGACGTATATAATGAGTGTATGCAAGAAAATTATACTACCGTCGAAGCATTGCGTTCTAGACATTCCAGTGCACCTAGCGCTTCAAAAAAAGTAGTGTCCGGTGGTGATGAAGAGGATGACGAGGATGAAAGCGATGAAGAGTATGGTAGCGAAGATAACGAATCTGTGGAAGAAATAGATGAGATGGATGTGGTGCCTTCTTCAAAAAAGGGACCCATAATTGATGACGAAGGATTTCAATTGGTGACAAAAAGGAGGAGATGAATGTTGTTTTATAAATGTAATTTTGTTAATCGGAAATTTTACTGCTTCTCTGTTTCATCATATTTATTTTTTATATATTCTTTACATTGCTCCACGCTTCCATCTGGATTTTCCAACTGCCATTCCATCACTAATTCTAACATTTGCTTTACACGCACGCCACCCTTTTTGATACCTAACAAGTTCATAATTTCTGATCCCTAAAAGCAATCGTGTTATTTAAAGAAAGGTAAAACTCAAAATTTATCAAAAAGATTTCTTACATTCAAAATATGTTTATCTCCAAAACATTCTTGTAATCCAAATTCAAATATTCGATTAACCAGAACATTATATTTATGGACAATTTGATTGGTTTTTTCCACTGCGAAGTAAAAAAAAAAAAAATCAATAACTTTCTGAAAAAATATCTTTTTTTTTAAAAAAAGCATCAGAATTATTAACTTACGAGACCCTGTCTGAATGCTTTCAAATTCCGGCAGTAATTCATATGCCATAGTAATTATAAAAGAATTCATCCAATGGGGTCCGGTTACCTCACGAATAAATAAGCCTATTAATCAAATAAA